AACCGGAGCTGTTGTAAGGCTTTCCTTCAGTTTCTCAAATGCCTTTTGCGTCTCTTCATCCCATTTAAACGCATCTTTCTTTATCAGTTCTGTCAAAGGCCTAGTTACTTTCTCATAGTTCCTTATAAATTTACGGTAGTAGCCGATTAATCCCAAAAAACCCCTCACCCTTTTTACATTCTTTGGAATTGGCCACTTCATTACACTTTCAACTTTATTAGGATCTACAGTAACCCCTTCCCTCGAGATCACATGTCCCAAATAATCCACAGGTTTTTGTGCAAAGTGACACTTCTTTCTATTAGCCACTAAACCATGCTTCTGTAGAATGTTCAACACTTCTTCCAAGTGACCTACATGAGTACTCCAATCTCTACTGTACACAAGAATGTCGTCAAATAATACCAACACAAAATTTCTTAATTGTACTCGAAATACCTCATTCATCAAGCTTTAAAATGTGGAAGGTGCGTTCATTAGTCCGAATGGCATGACTAGAAACTCATAGTGTCCTTCATGGGTGCGAAAGGTCGTCTAATGAACATCTTCTTCGTGCACTCTCACTTGATGGTATCCGGACTTGAGATCAAACTTAGAGAAAATTGTTGCCCCATAGAGCTCATCAAGCAATTCCTTTATCACAGAAATGGGAAACTTATATGGAATTGTAGCTTTGTTAAGCGCCCTATAATCGATGCACATACTCCAAGAGCCATCTTTCTTTTTGACAAGAATCACCGGACTCGAGAAAGAACTTGTGTTGGGCCTTACCACACCTGCAACCATCAACTCTTTCACCTGTTTTTCTATTTCATTCTTGTGATGGTAGGGGTATCTATAAGGTCTCACATTGACAGCTTCATGTCCTTCCTTCAAATTGATAACATGCTCTTTCACTCTCCTTGGAGGTAGCCCATTTGGTTCTTTGAAAATGCCCTCATATTTGGACAACAGTCCCTCCAACTCCTTTTTTTATTTATCATTGAGGTCATTCTCACAACCTCTTTCCTTCTTTACCCCTCTCATCCACCCCTTTCCACTTTTCTTCGAACACCTCACAACACTGTTCAAGGTTTCCAAATCGCCATTCACCCCTTGCAAGGTGATCCATTTTTTATCATACCAAAAACTCATGGTGTGCTTGGTCCAATTCATGATGATATCACAACGAGTTCTCAACCAATCTACTCCCAGAATGATATCTATGCCTCCCAGCTCAAATAGATGGGTTTGCACCGTCAATTGCACCCCTTCTAAATCAATCTTTAGATATTGACAAACCCCTATGGATTGAGCTCGAGATCCATCGCCTAATTTGATAGACATGGAAACTGAATCATCCACTGCCCAACTCATTTTATGCACCAGCTTCTTGTCAATGAAATTGTGGGTAGCCTCACTATCTACCAGAATTACCACTAGCACCCTACTAACAACACCCTTCAATTGAATAGATTGAGGTTTACCCTCCCCCAACTGGCCCAATTGCCCCAATTGAAACAAACTCAAGATACTCAATTCCTCTTCCGATCCTCCTTCTTCTTCTTCCACCTCCACCGGTAACACCATTTCCCCTCCTTCCTCTGTTTCGTCGTCCTCCGTTATCAATACCCTTAAGTGCTTATCGGGGCATCGATGTTTGGGGTGGAAAGGTCCCCCACATCTGAAACAAAGTCCCTTTTATTTCCTCTCCATTAGCTCATTATAAGATAAGTAAGAGTAACCCCTATCTCGTGGGCCACTTTTGTATTTTTCATTCCTGGGCCCAACACTACCCCTTTATTACTTCCAATAGGCCCATCATCCTTCCCTTTTACCATGATCCAGTCAGATCCACCTCCCTTATGGGTCCCACTGAATCCGAGTTTGGAAGACCCTTGACCCGATTTGGGGTGCCTATTGTAACCCGTTCCACTATCACCTCTAACCTCTTGCTCCACTACTCTTGTCACTTGTAACAACTTTCCCCTACTCAGATTTCCCACCGCCGATAAGCTCCCCGCCTTCCCTTTTATATCCGCCTTCAACCCATGTAAAAAAATCCAGCAAACTGTTTATCCGATAATGGGGGAATCTGAGCTGTAAGATACTCAAATTCGGTGATGCACTCATCCACCGTCCCTTCTTGCCGGAGAGCCGTCAGTTGTTCATACATATCCCCTTCACCATGACCCCCGTATCTTCCTACCAACTCACTCTTCAAACGATCCCATGTGAGATCTTCACCGTCGTTGAGTAACGAGTTGAAAAAATGTATGGTAGGACCTTCCATACATAACTGAGCCAGATCTACCTTCACTGCCGGTGTGGTGTCTTGCACACGAAAGTACACCTCAACGCAAGAGATCCACCCCGTCGGATCCTCTCCGTCGAACATGGGTAACTCAACCTTCTTCGCAGATTGTCGAAACTCTGACATCGCTTCACTCTGTTTCTTTTGCGAATCAGAGTTCTCAGACTTCTTTCCCGAATCTTCTCTTTTATTTCTCATGTTAACTTCATTTTCATCCTTAGTGACTATTGATTTCCCTAGGTTTTTCTCAAGCATGGCTACGAGCATGGCCTGGTTCCTCTCCATCGCTGCTAGTGTTGTCTTCACTCATACGATCTCTTCTTCTAAGATTGCAATCTTCGCATCCGTGTTGCTGAGCAAAGCTAACTGAGTTCTCTTAGGTGGCATTCACCATTCCCCAAACGAATCCGACAGGTCGGACCAATTTGTTAGGAACCAGAAAATGAAATAGCAGAAACAAAAGGAATAAAACAGTGTAAAAGGAAACAATGAGCATTATTATGTCAATAATGGAGAATTACAGAATGAGAGGAAATAATCCCTAGATTCTGACGCAGAGCTGAAGCTCCTATAGGCAAGCTACTGCTGCCTATTCATTCTTACAGGTAACAGAATCCAAGGTACCTTCTCAATATCACTCACTCTTTATATTCAGCAAAGTAGTTACTAGCTCATTTCTCTCTCCCCCACGTGTCTAGTACAACTATCCTTTTGTGACCCTCTTACCCCTTCTAGAATATACCTTCCATTCTCTAGGTCCCACCTCATGATTAGTTAATGATGTATTGGGCCCAACTCCTCCTCTTGACCCACTAGATCCCACATAGTCCTAACATATACATAACCTATATCCATAATCGTACCAGAATATGTTTGTAAACCTATTGAAGTCTTAGAGTAGGGATGAAAATGGATATCCATGAGACAGATACTATGATATGATATTTGTATCCGTTCCATTGGATAAATATGATATTCATATCCGTCCCATATTCATGAGGATATCCGTTAAGTGGGTAATCCGTGGATTTTACAATATCTGCGAATATTTACATATATTCATGGATGATATTCTTTTTATGAAAAATATTTTTAAAAAAAAACTATTTTTAACTTCTTTTAAAAACACAAAAAGTTATTATACATAACATCGATACAATTCGCTCTTAATTTAAAAATAAAATTTTATCGCATTAATTTTTTTCTTATTCATTGAAACATAATTAGATCAAAACATAATATCATACATTTTATTTTTAACCAAACAAATAAAAAATATTGTGATTGAGTTATGATGAAAGAGCTGGACTATGAAATTGTAGAAGTGAGATATTTGTATCCGTTCCATTGAATAAATATGATATTCATATTCGTCCCATATTCATGAGGATATCCGTTAAGTGGGTAATCCGTGGATTTTACAATATCTGCGAATATTTACATATATTCATGGATGATATTCTTTTTATGAAAAATATTTTTAAAAAAAACTATTTTTAGCTTCTTTTAAAAACACAAAAAGTTATTATACATCGATACAATTCGCTCTTAATTTAAAAATAAAATTTTATCGCATTAATTTTCTTCTTATTCATTGAAACATAATTAGATCAAAACATAATATCATACATTTCATTTTTAACCAAACAAATAAAAGATATTGTGATTGAGTTATGATGAAAGAGCTAGACTATAAAATTGTAGAAGTGAGATATGATGTAACGAAGAGTTTAAATATGAAATGTGAAAGGTTTTCTTCAAAGAAAATTTCAAAAAAAAAAAGAAATATAAGAAAACTAATTTTCTTTTAAAAGATAAAAAAATAAGATATAATAAATTAATAATATTTAAATAATTTTTATAATTTATTAACAGACATATTCACAACGGATTTTATCCACATATATCATTTCTATCATTGAGTTTAAACCAACTAATTCATAAGCTCAAACAATGATTAACATTAATTCAATTATTTGAAATGTTTTACACCGGACCATCATATATCTCTTTAAATCAGACTTAAAATTTTAAATAATTTAAACAACATGATAAAATAATATATTTTTATTAAATCAGTGTAAAACTTTTTTACACATATGTCTCAAACTTATGATTACCATCACACTTAGTGTTCCTTTTGAAAAACTTCAGGCATTTTGATAAAACGCTAACAATAACATAAAGTTTCCGTTTTGAGTAACATGCCAAAACAAGCATAATTTGTAACTTATTGGACATGTTTTCTAGGGTGATATAACAATTATTCTCTAAAACATAATTCTACTTCTTTTTCTCTTTATACCACAAATACAAATAACCCTTATAAATAAGATTCGGTTGAAAGAGAAAAATCTCCCATATGTATCTAAACGGTTTCCGGACACTTAGTAGTCATCCATAAACGAGATGAAAGATTCTTATGATTAACATTGTAACCAAACAAGAATATAACTTAAATATTTGTCTCAAATAATCTATTTGTTGAAAAAACAATTAACTGCTACTTACATAGTTATAGTTTAGTTCTTTGTGTGTAAAAACCACTTGATAAATAATCAAACAATTGACAAGCAATTTAGTGAGTCCGAAATTGAAAAGGACACCTAATTGTATTCATTCAATCAATCAAGTAACAAACACTAAAGCAAAAGAGAATATTTGTTTATGATAATACAATAAAGAAATATAAACATAGAAATGATATTCAGATTTGTCTGGCAGCAGCATCACCAACAAAAGGCAAGTAAGGAGTGCGACCCAAAAGACAAGACAAAGCACTATAAACAAAACAGAGAATACTAAAAATGAACACCGCATTGTGAGACCAAACCATAACCTTAAACGCCAATCCATATCGACCGGGAGAGAAGATTCTCTGAAACAGAAGCGGAAGTACGAGGAGAACATCGAGCGTGAGTGCTTGCATAGCGTTGAATCTAGCGAATTGAGGGAAACTAGGGTTTTTCACTATCCCCAAGTAGAGAGCAAAGAATGCGACAAACGAAGCGTAAGGGAGAGATCTGTAGAATGAAAGGAAGGGAATGATAGGTTCGAAGAGGAGGGCGAATTTAGGGTATTGTGTAAGGATGTTGTGACCATATTGAAGGGAATTGAAGAATGGAAGTGCGTATGCGGCAATTGAGATCAACCGCTCCGGTGGTGCGGGTGAGGATAGGTTGGCTTTAACGACGGGGTTTCGGAGTTTGAGTTTTGATGGTGGTGGTGTTAAGGGTGAGAATGAAAGGGAATTGGGTTTTGGTTTGAGGGTTAGGGTAGAAGGCTTGTGGGTGTGATGGAATGTGCAGGGACGGAGAAGAGCAAGGGATGCCATTTTTTCTTCAAATTGAGGTTTTGGTAACTGCTGAAATGCAACTGTTTTAGGGCTTTGTTTCTGCATTCATCCTTTATTCTATTGCACTTACGTTCATTGGGCTGGGCTTGATATACTACATAGAGACTCGTAATAAATTTCAAAATTTCAAAATAAATTATTGGTATTTTATAATTATACAGGTAAAATATTTGGTTGATCCAATGTTTGAAAATGAGATAACTCACAAATTAATAATGTATATGTGTTTACATTTTTCTACTGTGTTATATCATATATTTTTTATTTAATTTTTTTTCTTGTTCTGGCCAGAGTGATATCCAAATATTCAGTTAAATAATGTGAAGCCCAATAATAATTGGACAACGTAAATAATAAGCTTAATATATTATTTAGTCCCTTAATTATATGTGTTGTTTCGTTTTGATCTCTTAAGAATAAAATGTTATATGGTTGTCATTTAGTTAGTATTGAAAAAACGTTAAAAATGTCAGGGTGGACTACTTACATGACATGAAATTTAAATATTTTTGGAAAATAGTTAAAAAAATGTCATGTTATAAATTGTTAAAATTAAATAAGAAATGCATGAACTTGAAGCATGAAGTTCAAACGTTAGGGCAAACGAATACATCTCACTGAATAAGGCAAACTCCATTAAAGACAATTAACTACTACAAAACGTGCAAATAACAACGTCAGGTTTACAACAGATTCATATACATCGTTGTAATAGGTTAAAATTTCTATGTCGTGGAATTATAAACAGTAATTTAATGACGGTTGTCTTAAAAAACCGTAGTAATAAATGATGTGTAGCTATGAAGAGAAATACAAGAAATGTTAAACTATTATGTAAAATTTATTCACCTTATATTTCTTCTTCATAGCTTCATAAACTAGATGAACTTCATAATTTGTTCGACATCCACGATTAATTTAAAAAAATGTGTACCTTGAAACATTAAATAATATCTTGTGTTATTGTATGTTGTTGATTAATGTGGTTGTTGTTGATACATATGGTTTGTGTAGCTATGAAGAGAAATACAAGAAGTATGAAGCTATTGTGTTAACTTTATTCACCTTGTACCTTTTCTTCATAGCTTCATAAACTAGATGAACTTCATTTGTTCACCATCCACAATTAATTTTAAAAAAAAGGTGTATCTTGAAACATTAATATTGTTGTTTTTGTTTATTATAAACTAGATGAACTTAATTGTTTTTCGTCTTCTTTAAACTAGATGAACTTAATTGTTTTTCGTCTTCTTTTCTCCAGTTTCTTCAAGTTTCCATCACTTTCCATTAAAATGTCTCAGCAGTCCGGTTGTAGTCATGGAAGCAGTTTTTCAAGTCGTTCAAGGTACGTATGCAAGTGTGGTCTCGACGCTCTGTTGATGACGACATGGACCTATTCGAACTCGGACCGTCATTTCTATGGTTGTGGGATGTATAAAATTCAAGGATACAAAAAATGCTCTCACTTTGCTTGGTTGGATGAGGAGATGGATCTTAGGGCAAAACAATTAATTTCTTCACTGGTAAAGAACTTGAATGAGAAGAAGGAGATGATTAACACCTATAAAGCCAAGAGAGACGAATAAAAGTTGAAGGTGAATATCTCGAAGAAACAGATGAAGATTACCTGGATTTTTTATTTGTAGTGTTCATTGCATTTGGTCTAACAACAATGACGAAATAGGTTATAGTTGATTAGGTTTGTATGCTAACTGATTGTGTAATGGTTGATGTATTGGTTACCTTGGATTCATGTGATGATGTTATGGTGTATTGAATATGATACAATTATTTGATATTATGATAACTTTATCACAAATGTTAAAAAAATAGGATTAATTACAATAATACAGGTTAAAAAATATGATTAATTATAAAAGCATGATATTATTTGTTAATTTTGCAGAAAATTTAACAACGGTTATTTATCATAACCGTTATAATATCTCTTGCGCTGATAAAAAAAATACTTTATCACAACGATCTTTTGGAAAATCCATTATGATAGGGCCCACGCTTTCCAGTTTATTACAACGGTTACTGGGTCGTGATTGTAAGTATCATATATACAACGACACTTTACATAACAACACTTGGGCCCGTGTGATTCTATATCTTTCCCAACCTTTGTTAAATGGGTCTTCTGTAATAGTGATTGCACATACCAACTCCATTGAAGACGATATCAACGCCATCAATGTTTCTCTGATTACAACCAAGGTATGGTTTCTCACTTGTAACCTACTAAAAACGTAAACTTTTCCTTTTGGCCACCTTCCTTAATAGTTTTGCTATCTTATGTAGGTTGAATATGTAATGGAAAAGAGGTTTAAGTGTGTTGTTCATCATTCTGATGAGTTTTCTAGAGAGTTTGCTAACTTCATAAAGTCAGGGTGTCAAAGGTTAGAGACCATTATTGATGTTGATCCGAATTACTAGAGTTACTTTGAAATTTTAGGCATGTCAAAAGATTTATGTTATCCAACTATAAATAGACTTTCGTATTATGATGAAATGAATGCTTGTGATATTATACTGTTAGAGGATGACAATAGAACTAAGAGGATGCATACAATTGCAGTATTGACCGTGAAATGTCATTTATATGTTACTCATCCTATTTCCCAGCCTGGCATTATTGATGAACTAATTCTTTCATTAGGATTAGATGATGAAGTTGTTGTGGATGTGGGAACTGAGTTTGGAGTTAATGAAATTGGTGTGGGGACCACTGTCGTGCAAGATAGTACAAATGTGAGAGCAGAGTTTGAGGTCACTAAAAGTGATGTGAGGACCATTGTGGTGCAAGAGAATATAAATGTGGGGACACATGTGAAGGATGAGGGGTCATACTGTGAAATTGAGGAGAATGTGGGTGATGAGGGGAAAAACTTTGAAATTGAGGAGAATATGGGTGATGAGGGGACAACCTGTGAAATTGAGGAGAATGTCGGTGATGAAGAGACAAACTGAGACATTGCAGAGGATGTGGTTGATGAAGGGACAAACTGTGACACTGAGGGGCTCAAATATAACCAGTCAGAAGTTAAGGGAGTTAATGTTAGCAAGGCAGATGTGGAGGTGGAGATCGAGTGTAGTGAGATTGAGGGACTCAGCTATAACTAATATGAAGTTGAGGGAGTTAATGTTAATCAAGCAGAAGTTGAGGGAGTTAATTAGGTAGATGTTGAGGTGGAGGTAGAGGGTAGTCAATACAATGCTTTGGATGTGAATTTTGAAGACTCAGAAAATGATATAGGATTTGATGGAGAGATAGTGGTTGATGATGAGGAAGTGAGTACAAAGGGCAAGGCAAAGGGTAAGGCAAAAGGCAAGGCAAATGGTAAGGCAAATGGTAAGGGAATTGTGGAAGGATCAAGTGAAGGGATTGGTTTACTTGATGTTGTGAATGAAGGTGAGGTCTTAGGGGCAAACTTAAAAGGATTAAGTGACATTGAAGAGTATGATAGTGATGAACTACCTCAAGAGTATGATAGTGATAATTGTGAGATTGCAAAGGATGCCTTTGTAACCTTTAAGCTTCCAAAGAAAATGGAAGACTAAAAATGGGAATTGGGGACTTATTTTGCTACATGTGATGACTTTAAGGAGACTATTAGAACCTATGCTATACATTAAGGAAGAAACTTGGAATTTAAGAAAAATGACAAAAGGAGGATGAAAGTTAAGTGCAAGGATGGTTGTCCATGAGAGGCATACTGTGAAAATATAAAAGGTCAAGAAACTTGGCAATTGAGGACAATAGTATACAAACATACATGTAGAAGGGATTATAAGATTAAGTTTCTAAATTCCAAGTGGTTAGGCAAAAAGATTCAAAGCAATATTAGAGAGAACCCAAATTTGAAGTTGAGGATATTATGGAGAAGACACATGAAAAGTGGAATGTAGGCATCAACAAAACACTTGCATATAGAGCAAAGACACTTGCTATTGATATTGTGGATGGTTCATTGAGGGAGCAATATAGAAGAATCCATGATTATGGCCATGAATTGTTAAGGACAAATCCAAGATCAACTGTTAAAATTACAAGTCATTCATTCCATGGTGAAGAGGAAAATGGTGAACACTCTGAGAGGCAAATGAATCCTTACTTCCAAAGGATGTACATATGCCTTAAAGCTTGCAAGGAAAGTTTTTTCAAATGCAGACCTATTATTGGATTGGATGGGTGTTTCTTAAAGGGGTACTATGATGGAAGTTTTGTGGACTAAATCTGATGCCGTTGATCTCCAACCACCACCAATAAAGAGACAACCTGGAAGGCTAACAAAAAGAGGAATAGATAAGTCGGGGAAATGGTGAGGAATGAGACTCACTTGAAAAGGGAAAACCATGAAATCAAGTGCAGTCATTGCCACAAGGAAGGTTACAATAAAGCCACTTGTAAACTGCCACAGCCAAAAGGACCTCCAACTCAGGTACCAGTAGGAACCTTAAGTCAGCCACCACAACCAACACCTTAAAGTCAACCAGCAATTACAACAGTTTCAAGTCAGCCACCACAGTCATCTATTTCAAGTCAACCACCACAACCGAAACCTTAAAGTCAGCCACCACTTGCAACAGTTTCAAGTCAGCCACCACCCAAAAAGAAAAAAAAACTTTAAAAGGATGGGAAGCCCTTTTCAAGTCAACATTGATGTTTGTTATGCCTTATAATGGCTTTTTGTAATGTTATTTTAGTGCTTTATAATGGCTTATTAACAATGACTTCTAATGCTTTTTTGTAATGTTATGTTAGTGCCTTATAATGGCTTAATGATAATGGCTTTTAATGCCTTTTTTGCAATGTTATGTTTGCGACTCATAATGGTTTAATCACAATGGCTTTTAATGCATTTTTGTATCACTTTTTGGATAGGCATTATAACAGGTTATATTTTGTTCCAACTTTTATACCAGTTATGTATCAGTCTTAAAATGGAGATAAATGTACAAACAAAAAGAGACAT